AGTCTTCGGGCATAGCTGATGCCCTGTGGCCTGCCGTTCTGCTCTGTCAAAGTCTGTGATCGAACTTTGAATTTCATTTGGCCATCCATTTGTTTGACAGATATTTTTTCTTTAATTTCTTTTTATTAGCCCATGTTTGCAGTGCATAAAAATCACATTCCTTGTGGGAGTCCGTGCCTGCACATAACACATCTCAATTCTTTTTTTTTTTTATTAAATTCTTTTATTGGTACATTGTAGGTATACAACACAATTACATTTCTCATTGGGAATTGTACCTTTACATAATGCATGGTTCTTATTTTTTCCCATTCCTAGCCCTCCCTTCACCCGCTCCACCCTTCCCTATTTACAAAGACTTTATTTCCATTTTTTCCATTTCTCAGCATTTTTCCTTTCCCTTCTTTCCTTTCCCCTGCCCCTCCCACTACCCCTACCCCTTTGGACCTTTTCTTCCTATTTTACATTATCAATTATTCATTCTAATCATTGGTACATTTTAAGTATACAATATAATGACATTCATCATTGGAAATTTGCACCTTGACATAGTCTCCCGTGGTTCTTATTTTTCACCCTTGCCCAGCCCTCCCTTCCACCCCTCCATTCCTTCCTATTTACAAATATTTTGTTCCTATTTTTCCATTTTCTCATATTAATCCCATTCCCTTCTATCCTTCCCCCTAGCCCTCCCACTTCCTTCTCCTTTGCCCCTTTCCTTCCTATTTCACATTACCTATTATACATTTTAGTCCTTATTTACACTTTCAGTTTCTCACACCAGAGAAACTATTCAGTATTTATACATGTGTGCCCTATTTATTTCACTTAAGAGTATCGCCTCAATGTGCATCCACTTAGCTATAAATGTCTCTAATTTCTCATTTTTTGTGGCTGAGTAGTACTCCATTTTATTGTAAAAAACCACATTTTCTTTATCCAGTCTCCAGTTGATGGGCATTTGGGCTGTTTCCAAGTTTTAGCTATCACAAACTGTGCTGCTATGAACATGGGTGCACATATATCACTGTGGTATGATTCTTTTAATTCTTTGGGGAAGATCCTCAGCAGGGGAATAACTGGGTCAAATGGGACTTCCAGTCCTAGTTCTTTGAGGTATCTCCATACTGATTTCCACAGTGGTTGCACCAGTCTACACTCCCACCAGCAGTGGAGCAGGGTTCCTCTTTCCCCACAGCCCCGCCAGCATTTGTTATTGGTTGATTTCATGATAGCAGCCATTCTTTCTGGAGTGAAGTGGAATCTCAGCGTTGTCACATCCCAATTCTTTTTCCTCCCTTCCCTCACTTCACTCATTTTTTGATCCCCTTTCCATTTGAGAAAGACCTAGCTCCTTGTTTTTATTTATCTATCTTTTAACTTGCTCTTTATTTATATTTTGGGATTCTCCTATAAGAAAATCCACACAGTATTTAAGCTTGTGTGTCTGGTTTATTTTGCTTAACATGATCTCAAGGTGCATCCATTTTCTGTCAACTGACTCTGTTTTATCCTTCTTTATGGCAGAGTAGTACTCTACGGTGTGTAAATACCACATTATCTACTGATGACATATAGGCCACTTCCGAGATTTAGCTGTTAAGGAGTTGTGCTTCTATAGACATAGGTATGTGAGGATCATTATAATATGATGACTTTAACTAGGGAAGATACCTAGAAGGGGAATAGCTGGGTCCAATGGAACCTCTAGTCTTAGTTTTTCGAGGAATCTCTATACTGGTTTCTATAGTGGTTGTACTAGTTTACATTCCCATCAACAATGTAGTGACTGGCACTAGGGATACAGTGAATGAAGAATGAAGAACAACAGATCCCTGCTATTGTGAGCCCAGACGAGAAAATACTGGAGGGTGAGAATTAGTTTAGTGGTAGGTGTGGAATGACTTCTGATGAAACTCTCAAGAATGAATGCATATAATACATACGCCTCTCTCAGGAGGATGTTGGTAACGGAGAGGGTGTGCATGTGTGATGTGTTCGGGCAGCAGATACCGGAAGCTCTGTACACTTTGCTTAGCGTTGCTGTTAACCTGAAACTGTTCTAAAAGAGAGTGTATTAGAAACATAATGATGAGAAGGAGGGAGACAGGGAGAGGAGAGGGGTGGGACAATGGCTTTTATGATCTTAAATACTTTTGGCATCTCCTTAGAAATCTAAGGGTATTTTTTCTAAGCTAATTCATATTTTTGGTAAGTTGGCTCATTTATGTTAACTCTGCTCATGAAAAAATACAGAACCCTATACTTCATGGAGCCATCTTTATCTGTCTCTAAAAGGCATTAGTAGTTGGTATCCTCAGACAAGCAACTTGAGTTTTTAAAAAAGCAGTGTACATATAACACAGGTGTATGGAAGTAAAAACAGAACTCCAGCCTAAGGGATTTGTGGGTGAGGCTTCAAAGGTTACGTTCGCTTACTGCATCCAACTGAGTGTCGGTTGAGGCATTCATTTGTTCAGTTGGTCTTCCTGTGTTTACTGGGCCACCTATTAATTCTCAGACTCTCCTTGGGTCTGATGCTAGAGAGATCAGTGAGGCATACGGTCAGGCTCAGTGAGGGCTGGATGGACGTGGGCATAAACAGCACCCATGGGATAAGTAGTACCCAAGGAGGTGCAGATACCATGCAAGTGAAGAAACCGGTCATAGAAATACCTGTTCTTATGTGTCATGTGGAAGACACCTCAGAGCTGTGGAGAAGACAGATTATCCTTGAGTCCAGTGCGGCTCTGCCTGGGATGGTTAGGGGCAAGTTTGAGTTGGCTCTTGAGGAACGAGTGTATTTAGGGATGTGGTCAAGGAGAAAGAGTCCCATGTGACTCTGAGTCTCAGCATCATCGTGGAAAGGGCCCTGGCACCATCTCCACTGACCAAATCAGCCCCAGCCCCAGCGACCCACCCTGGGGCCTTGGAAAAGTGCTTCACTGTGGGTGCAGACTTTGCTCTAGTGTGAAGAAGGGCTTTGTGCCCAGGGTGGTGCCCTTGGACACCCTAGAGACAGCCACAGGTGATACTTGGGACACTTGATTTCCTGACTTTGAATCAGGACCTATAAAGCTCATAAAAATATGCCCAGGTCTCTTTGTAGAGCTTGGAAATGTCTCAGCTTAGCTATTTTTTTTTCAACCCCAAACCAGCAGCCTATTTCAGTTTTCATGCACATAAGTATTTCTTCAGTGTGAGAACCCTATGTACTCCTATGTACACGCATGGACAAATATTAATACATTAGCCTATTTGTAGCTTGAAATAATAACCTCAAGGACGATAAAAGTTCAAATCCCCATTTAATTTCTACTTGCATCATTAGACTTCATTTCTTCTTTTCTAGGGTATTTTTGAGGGCTAGAATATTCTTGGAAATTCTCCATCGCTTACCTGGACTAATGTTACAGATTATATCAAATTTCACATATTTTTCTCTACATAACTAGAAAGCTAAGACAGCCAGATTATCTGCTCTTAATCTTCTTTGCTTTCTTATGAAGAAGCAAAGGACAGCTCGGGACACATTGGGGATATTCCAAGAGCACTTTCCTGGATGTCCCCCAGCTCGGTTTTTCTGCTGCTACAAAATCAAGATGACCCTGCTGCATGGGGAGGTCCTGCCAATCCCCTGAGTCACCGCCCTTAATCAGGAGCAGCTTGCTGTTAGTCATGTGTACATTTTGTCATGTTCTAATTCTTTCAAAACCAGTAACGCCAACACAAACATAAGAAGGGGCATTTTTGCTAGATTCCTAATGCACATTAGGGTGCAAGCATTGATTGACAAGTCAGGGAGCAGCTGGCAGCTAAGGTCCCCTCGGTCCTTACAGAAGCATGAGGAGACTTCCTCAGGGCGCTTCTCTGAACACCTGGCCGGACGGCCAGGCAGTGCAGTATTCAGTGGCAACTACTCACAGGTAATCGTGAGCCTTTATACCTGGGGGAGATGGTACTTTTATGGTTGAGAACCAATTTTATTGAACAAAATCTTAAATCACCTATCAGATTGGCTATCTTCATTTATTTATGATCTCTGCTAGGCTTTGCCCATTGGACATAATTTCTCAGTAACTGAAATTGAGCAAAGATGCAGCTCTGCATTCTGTTCTTTCAATGCATTGTTGCTCCTGAAAAGCAGAGGGCAGAGACCTTCCCAGAAGGGAGTTAAGGTACCTGGGTTCGGTCTGGCCACTTCTGACCTGCAGGGAGCGGGGGGCCCTTGCGTGCAGGGATCTCGTGGTAGGACCTGTTCAGAAGATGAGGACCTGTTCAAAAAATTTGCTTTTGCCTGTGAAATCTATAGTTTGTTAACGGCACCATAAATTGCCCAGAAGAAACAGTCTGCTCAGTGGAAAAGACACTTAAATAGGTTGAGATTTTTATGGGGCCAACTTGGCCAAATCAAACACAGGCTTTCCTGCCGCTTCCAAGGTTTTAATGGAAATTCGTGCTCTTTAGAAGTTTGCTGCCTAATTATAATTCCTGCCATTTTCAGATCCAATACAGGGTGGACCAAAAGGAAAATGTTAGACAGGGCCCCTTGTGATTCTCATTGTGCTGGCTGCAGAGTGCCAACTGCACACATCTTGGGGCCTGGTGCGTCCAGAGAGGGGCCGGCTGCAGGCAGGCCACGCTGCGTCAGCAGAAAGGGGAAAGAGGAGCTCTTGCTGCACAGTAACTGCGGGCTGCACGCCCCGAGGCAGAACCAGCCTTCTGCAGTGATTGTGCATAAGCTGCCAGTATCAGGACTTAATTGAAAAGCCCACGGTCCCCATCACCTTGACCCAGCCCACCTGCTTGTCTTCATCAGAGGAACTTTGGAAGCCGATTAAAAATAGAACTACATACAAGATTATTTTTAAGGAGAACTTACCATTTTTCTCCTCCTTCCTTTCCCGCTTTCCTTCCTTCCTTTCTTCTTTGCTCCCTCTCTCCTTCCTCCTCTTCTCCCTTGCTCTTCTTGTTTTTCTTCCTTGCTTTTTTGGAAACAGGTCTAACTGGTCTCAAGGGAGAGAAAGGAAATCCAGGCATCGGAACTCAAGGTCCAAGAGGCCCCCCAGGACCAGCAGGTAAATCTTTCTACCTAGCAAAAACCTGCAAGATATGAATACTCCCTTGCTGTCACAGGGAGGAAAATGGCCATATTACAGCTTGGTACCTAACTGCAGTGGCTGGATTTCCCATTTGTTCTACTGGGAGGCCAATGGTTAGTAATGACCTTCCCAATGTACAGCCCCGAAGACTACAACATGTGTTCCCTCTGCTTGCCGACATAGGTTAGGTGAGGACTGGCGCGCTTGGAGGATGGGTGCAATGAGCCTTTCTTTCATATTCACAAAGCTGCGCATGGGGAAAGCAGCTCTCCTCCGTGTAGGACTCTGTGACCTCCATCGGGGGCCAGATAGCCTCCAGGAGAAAGAGAAAGAAGGCACTTGGTCTCCCCGACTAAATACAGCAGCTTGCAACTCCCATTACAGTTCACTGGCTGAAACTGTCACACAGCCCCAGGGAGAAATGAAATCTGGAGAGCAGGGAATTAGAGGAGCACTGGTAGTTCCTTACCAAGTGATTTTGTGGGAGTATCGTGTACAAAATCCACTTCCAGAATAGTCAGACTTGTATTATTGCACATTATAGTTTGCATCCTATTGCATATTTAAAGCCCCAGTCATAGCAGTGAACCAAATATTTTATAGATTTGTCCTTCCAATCTAATAATGATTTTGGAATATAATTGTAAGAGATATTCCTCATGTAATACATTTCGATTGTAAATACTTCTATTATTGGATCTTGAATTACACACTACACAGAATGAGTGGCTGGGGGTGTTGATTGAGTGGAACTGAATATGTCCAAGAGCCACTGTACTATCAAAGAGAAGGTGACACTTGCCCCTACTTCTCACTTTAATTCTGGTTCAATAGGTTTATTTCTAGTTGAACAGTGCTTTTTAAACACTGTCAGAACCCAGGACTAAAAATAGCAAGCATACAAAACCAAAATCCCAGCCCATATGCTTCTTAAACTTAAAAGTATTTTAATGGTTCTCCCATTTAGATCTCAACCTATGTTAGCTAGCCTAAAGAAACTTTAAATTAGTGTGTTGGATGCAATTTCAGATTGCATTCATTTTCTCCAGGATAATGTTTCAGGCTCAGACTAATTTATTTTAATTATCTGGAGTCGTAAGCCAATATTAATTTGCATGAGTCTTCTAACTAGATTGGGAGATTTCGACTTCAGTGTGTTCCTGTGTACATGCCCACATATTGAATTCACAAGGAACTGCATTGGAAAACCAAAGCTCTATGGAGAAAACAAGGTTGACAGAGAAAAGAATACTTTGCTTCCCAGTTTCCTGAGCTGATTACAAGCATTTACCTTCAGGAGAATGTGATTACAGCAGGATTCTGTGCCTGGGGAAGTAGTTTAGAGAAAAGTGAGTATAGGCCGGGGATTTAGCTCAGTGGTTCTGCCACCTGCCTCGCAAGCACAAGGTCCCAAGTTCGATCCCCGGTACCAAAGAAAAGAAAAGTGAGTAGAGAGGGGCTGATTGTCCTAATTGTCATGTATAAGATTGCTTCTTGCAAGAATTGGTTCATTTCGTGCTGGTCTCAAAAGTCGCCCTCTTGTGGTAAAAGACCTGCTCCTGCTTCCTAGGACCTTCAGGGGAGAGTCGGCCTGGCAGCCCTGGGGCCCCCGGCTCTCCTGGACCACGGGGTCCCCCGGGGCACCTGGGGGTGCCAGGGCCACAAGGTCCTTCCGGCCAGCCTGGATATTGCGACCCCTCGTCGTGTTCTGCCTATGGTGTGGGAGGTAAGTGCCACCCTCATGTGGGCTCGGAGTGGTTTTACTATTATTACCACAAGGTAGAGGGGTCACTGCGAAATGGAGAGCAGTTATGAGAGGAGGCAGAGCTTGGACTGCTCACTACCTGATGCTGTCTGCAGGCATCTTCTGTAAAGTGCGATCATTTTTAAAACCTTACGAGGAGACTCAGCCCATCTAAGCCTTCTTTGCTTGCAAGTGGTGATCCACATAGCCTTGGCCTCTGACCTCAGGTCTGGCTGTTTGGAGGATACGGCTGAGCATTTTGGGGGCCCCGCTCTGTGTTCCTACTGTGCTGTGACCAAGATACCCCGGAAAATTTACCCTTAGGGAAGCCTCAAAACTTAGAACCTCCCCCAAAATGGGCAGGCTTCCAAGATTCTTTGGGGTGACATCTTGCCCCATGAGCACATTAGGTGTCCAAGGATAAGCTAAGGAAAAATAAAAGTGGCTGTGAATTTAAACTTTCTGCTTTGGGAGAAATTTAACCTTAGTTGCCAAAGGAATTGACCAAAGTTTTGCTGATGTGTTTTTCTCTGTTCATCTTTTCCCTCCCTGTTCTCTCAAATCCCCCTGTCCCTTGTTAAGATCTGATCCCTTACAACGATTACCAGCAGTGAAGTGGATGTCCTCCACTTTGGTCATCTTGGCATGGACATTTGGCTATGGATACAGACCTGTCCTATTGATCACCACGATTAAGCCCCTGCCCCTAACAACGGCCACTTCTCTTTCCTGCCTCAGCTGCTTCCCTGCCTTTCCACCTTTAGATCCTTTGCTCTTCCCTCTCCAGATGTGATGGAGTGATGACAGAGGGACATGGCCAGATTGTGCAGTCATTATAGTAAGCCTGACTGCACCAGGTCAGCCTGGATAGAGGTGTACGATTGTGAACTGAGAGTTTGTCCCAAGTCCTCTCTGGGCAAGGTCTGCAGTAACACAGCTTCATGGTGCCTTCCCCTCCATCCTTCCCCCACGCACTCAGATGGGGCTCTTCACCTGACCTGCTACTCTCCTTCCTCGCCTGGTCACCTGCTGCCCCACTGTCCCCAGGGATGGACTTCTAACATGAGATTGAGTTTTAGGTTTTATTTTCCTTTTTGTAATACTTCTGAATTTTCAGGGTTTCTTTTGTAAATAAAACACATACTATTTAAGCCTTTGGCTGTGATTCTGGTTTTCTAACCATTCCTCTAACTGCCGTCCCTTCCTCCTTTTGCTAACCGTGAGACCTGAAAAGGTGCCAGTGGCCTCAGTGTGCTGGGTCAGGCAGCTGCTGCTTTCTACCCAAGCAGGATATCTCTGTAGTTGATGGACCAAATCTGTGTCTCTGAGGACCCACCTGAGGGGAGATTATTAATTTGTGGTCTCTGGGTTCTATCAAGTCCCCACCCCACTTTTCCTCTTTAGCCCCCCATCCAGATGAGCCTGAATTCACCCCTGTCCAAGACGAGCAGGAAGCCTTGGAATTGTGGGGCTCCGGGATCTAACAGCCTCAGGGGACATTGGAAGACCAGTGGCAAGACCTCCTAAGGAACTTTCCCTGAGAAAATGTTGTCACAGGGTTTGTATGCTGGGGAGCTCGTGTCTGCAGCCTGGACCTCCGCCTTGGATAATGTTAGTGTTACTGTATTATTATCAAAATTGTATTTTTAAAAATGACACCCTTGCTGTTTTGTTCAGAGAAGAATGCCCAAAGACAACTTGGGAAAATAAATTGAACCCTGGAGTCTTGTGTGGCAAATGATCTCAAGTCCTAAAATGAACAAGATATGACAGTGTTGGAGGGAAATGGGCCCCTGCAGGAAAAGAGTGAATTCAAAGAGAGTCACAGATTATACCACTCACCAGCCCCACGGGAACGATAAAAAAAGGATTCATCATCGCTGACACTACCTCTTGCTTGCTTGACTGAGCTGTCCAGTTCTGAGATCATGTAGTGACTGGTTTCACGGGTATCTAAAAGGAAGTTCCCAAATGTAATCATTCTGGATTTGATAATTTAAAAATAGACTTAGCTTCTCAATGGTTTTTGACTCATGTAAAGTAACGGCTTTCCACCAGTTCTGATTTGTCCAGCAGTATGTCCTAGGCCATGTCTCTCCTTGTCTACAGGGATTACTTTGTACATGCAGAAAAGTTTCTGAGAACACATTTTTATTTTCTTTTGTAAGCAAATAAAAATTTAAAACAAAGTATGTGGATTCTTTTTACTGCACTTCTATGGACTTAGTTGAGTGTCCACCATAGTAACAAACAGTTGCCTTTCTTTAGGTAAGCATTCAAACTTTCACTCATTCATTCATTCTGAGTTCAGTAGGAAGCATAGCAATAGAAGCAGTCAACCGAAGACACAGAGACCAACAGAATTTTATTATTCATTTCTAATCTACCAGGCAGCAGAGGCAGTGCAAATGGAAGAAAGCTGCTAAATAAATATTTACCAGTGGTTTACCAAGGAACACTTCTGTCTTCCAGTATTAAGAATAGCCTGAAAAACTCTAAAAGGTAGGGAAGAAACAAAATCGAATCCAATAGACGAGCCTTTAAATTGAACTTGTCTTTCTCTTGCAAAGGAAAAAGATAAGCACTTGGGAAAGAATTGAGTTAATGAGAAAAGAGAGAGAACCACAAATGAATGTGTGTGCCTGTCCTCTGTAGCATCTTCATGGGAACAGTTAATTTTATGAAGTTGAAATGGGGTCTGCATTAGTCAGCTGTCACTCACTGGGACAAAATACAAGACACCCACAACTTAAAGGAGGAGATGGTTAATTTGGCTTATGGTTTCAGGGCATTCAGTCCATGGTTGGCAGGTCCCAAGGCAGAAATGTCACCACAGAAGTTTGCAGTGGACCAAAGCTGCTTAGTTCATGGTGGCTGAGCAGAAGAGGTCAGCAACCGAACATTGGCCCCAAATCTATGCCTCCATGACCCATGCAGACACACCTAGAATTGTGATCCACCAATCCTCTGGCCAGATCCCACAGCCAATCAAGTTGACACTCCTTCCTAACTGCCACATCCCACCCCTTGTCAACTTGATACCTAGACACATCTCCTTTTACCATACTTAATCTCCACATAAAACAATAGCAAGTTCATAATTCCACCTAACATAATGTAACATCCTAAGTACAACTGGTAGCACAATGGTCCCTTCCACAAAGTTTCAGCATTTTTCAAAAGTCCAAGTTAATATCTTCTCTGAGACCCAAAACAAAGTCTTAGCTGTGAACTTTTGTAAAAATAAAAAACAAGTTACATAATCCCAAGGTATAATGGCATAGGGTAAACATTCGTATTGCAAAAAGGGAGGAATGAGGGATTGAAAAGACTCAGACCAAAGCAAGACCAAAACCCAGCAGGGCAAATGTTAAGTCCTGTAGCTCCAGTTCCAGCATCCAGGGTGCATGTTAGTGAAATGTGAGTTCCAGGGGCTCGGCTGACCCCATGCCATACCCTCACTGGTTGAAGCTCATAGAACCTCTTTCTTGGGCTGGATCCACTGATCCCTTCATCTTTCCTTGTAAAGGAATGCCCCTGTTCCTGTTATCTCTGACTTCATGAGACTCCACCACACCCCAGCTTCATTTCCACAGCTTCACACACTCTCCTCTCAGAAGTTCCTTGCCTGCCCTCCCAGGTCTTCCTTTGAAATATGAATAGAAGCTTCCCTCACCCTAGCATAAAACCAGCACCATGCAGAAGATGCCAAGGTCTGATGTCAGTGGAAGCAGCAGTTAAGCCTTCTTGGACCACAGCAACAGGAGTGTTTGAGTGTCTAGATGACTGGGCATGTTGAAAAGAATCCTGGGAAACCAATTCCCTAGGTGCTCATCTTGAGTGTGGGGCCCCTGGACTCTCTTCTCAAATAAAAGGTTTACATTTTTGCCCCTTTGACCCTGCAATGATGGAATCTTGCTAATTTCAGAGATGCCCTCAAGGCCTCTTTCTTCTTGTCCTTGTACAAAGTAGTCCATTTCTTTTTAATTATACTAATCTTCTCAGCAACCTCATTCCTTTGGCCCCGCCTTTACATGCCTTTTTTGGCCAAAATTTAAGTTTTTCCAATATTTCTATTCTTTTTGTCCCCAACTCACACTATAAATGTAACTAAAAAGAGCTGGCAGTACTCATGCAACAGCCTGACTTGGGCTACCTTGAAATTCCTCCACCAGATTAGTCCACTGACCTTAATCTTAGTACCTGCCAAAGTCTCGAAACATGGGCAAAATGTAGACATTTTTTTTTTTTTTGCAGAGTGTATCATACATGACCTCTAGTCCAATTACCAATGGAGCTCTTGTTCTCAGCTGAAACATCCTTAGCTTGGTCTTTACAGTCTGCATTGCCATCAGCCTTCTGGTCACCCACTAGACTCTGCTTATAGCATGCTAGGTCTTTTCTGGTCCACATCTCCAAAGCATTCCAAACTTCTCCTGAAAATCAGTTCTGAAGCCTTCTAAACTACATGGTCAGGTACAGTCACAACATTGATTCCATTTTTGATACTAATTTTCTGTATTAGTGATCTTTTTTGTCTCTGGGACACAATACCTAGCACCCATAACTTAAAGAAAAAGAAGTTTAATTAAGTTCATAGTTTCAGATGATTCAGTCCTTAGTTATCTGACTCCAAAGCAGAAACAATGTGGTAGAATTTCATGATGGAGCAAACTGCTTAGCTCATGGCAGCTGGGAAGCAGAGCAGAGGGACCATGCCAGAGAGGAAGCAGCCAGGGACCAGGCGTAGTCCCCAATGCCATGCCTCTATGACACACACAGACCACCCAGAAGTGTGTGCCATTAATCCCCTGGGCTTATCTCAAAGCCAATCAAGTTGATATTCCCAAACTGCCTCAGGATCCTTCACAGCCAGAAGTTGGATTCTTTCTGAATCATGAGAAGGCTACTTAGGATAGTGTTTGCTTGGTTACCAGGTTATCTGACTCTCTGTGCTCCTATGGGTCTCCTGTCCTTTTGTAAGTGACACCACACCAAGTGAAGAAGACCTCTTTATCTAAAGGGTTTGACCAGGAGGGCCTGTTTGGTGTCTTTGGGGATTGAGGGAATAGCCTTTTGGTGTCTGCAGAGAGTGAAAGAGGACAGTGAACAGGGCGCTCACAGCCATTCCCTCTCTGTTGTGCTGTACAAATCCACCCACAGAAACAGGCCGGCGAGGAGGACAGCTTGTATAGTTGTCAAGACAGCCTGACCCAGAATCCTGAGAGAACTCTTCCAACTTCGACCATCGAGGTGTGTGATTGCTCACTCCATAGCCTCATGCCTCAACTTCTCAGTCTAAGACATTTAATGCATTAGTGTAGAGAAGGATAGTCTATATATTTTACTGTTTGGCCCTTGGAAACAAGTAGTCCAAAACAATGTCGCTCTAAAAACCCTCAACCTTTGCTATAGGTGCTAAAATATAAATCACTAGGAATTCTAATCTACTTACATTATTCTTGGGTTGTACAAATACATGTGGCTTTGATTACACTTGGCGATCTCCAATTGTTTACTTAAGCTACAGGAAAGTTTCATTAGTTTGAAGTGTGTCATCACTTGGACACAGTATATTAGGTTTTTACTGAGTGAAATGCTCAAAATAAAAGGTGTAACTCACATTCTGGATTTGTGTGTTTACAACACATTGCTTCTAATAAAAGCTGATGTTGAAGTACATTTTTATTGACTTACTTATTTTGGCAGGAATATACCTCTATTTTAATTTGTAGTTTATATTGTTTTCTGAAAGCAATAAAGCATCATTTCATTTACAAAAGATATTACTCTTCAGAATTTTCATCACTTTTGTTAGAAACTCTTAATTTCTTTTGAGAATAGACATTTTAGTGTAATTTTGTATTCAGAAAGACCCCAATTTAATTCAAGACAACCCTCCCTCCCTCTTTCTTTTCTATCTTTCCACCACCCCCAATCTTCTTTACCTGATGTTGCTGTGCAACTCGGTCTATTTTAGTTCTGAGGATAAAACCATAAGCAAGAAAGACATAGCTGGGAATGGTGGTGCACACTTGTAATCCTAGCATTAGGGAGGCTGAGGCAGAAGGATTGCTGTGAGTTTGAGGTCAGCCTAGACTATATAGTGAGTTCAAGGCCAGCCTGGACTACACAGTGAGACCCTGTCTCAGAGGGGGGGGGGCTCCGTTCTCACAGTTTCCTTTTCTATGCTGGAGAAAGACCGAAGTACATAAACAGACAAGCAACGTGGCAACATGAACTATAAATAATGATGAAAAAGGACAGAGGAGCTGCTGGGAGAGGGGTAAGCAAGGGTGTAGAGAGGAGCCCCGCTCCTGCTAGGTCAGCAGAGACCGCCTCTGAGGGGCTGACATTTAAGTGGAAAAGTGAAGATAAGGAAAGATGTGGGCAGGGAATTCCAGCCCAGGGCTTGTCCAGCACAAGAGCCCTTTGTCAGAGGGTCTCGTCATGCTGGAGGAACTTGAAGAGGCCAGCTGGGAGGAGAGGGAGCGAGATAAGGCTGGAGACCAATGCAAGCAGGGTGTCAGCATTTGAGGTTTTATTTTAAATTCCACGAGAACCAGCTGAGGGACTGCAGACAGAGGCGACATGAGCCAGGGTGTGTTTTGAGTTGGTGGAGGGAAAATCTCTCTTCCAGCCACATTGCTGGACTTCGGTCCTGAAGGGTCATGGAATAGCTCCTACAGTCCAGGCTGACTGTAACGACTTTAAGACCTGTAAATTTGCTCAGTTGGGTGGGCTACACAGTGGTGATGATGCCCCCTAAAACCCAGGAGCTGCAGGCGCAAGTGAATTTCTCTTCAGTAGTGGAAGACAGGGCAGCTGCCCACCAGGTCTGGGCTCAGTGTACCACTCTTCTGCCTTGGACACCTGCATGGCAACATACACTTCCGTGATTGCCATGGGAGAGAAAAGAGGATGCGGAGAATCATCCCCCAAGAGACACACATGGCATCCACTTGTGTGACTTTAGCCTGAGGAAATCACAGGGCACATTTAATTTCATAGAAGTGGAGAACAACTTTCCCATGATCTAGGAAGTTGATGAGAACCAGAAATATTGGTGAGAAGTGACAAAAGCGATCACATCTATGTAGCTCATTTGAGCCTCACAAAAACCCAAGCAAGAGCTAGTCCGCTATTAACTTTCCCAGCAAA